TCAACCCCCTTCCCCTGTGAGCCCCTCCCCTCCTCACTTTCCTCCCTTGCTCACCTCCCTCCTCTCCCTCCCTTGCTCACCTCCCTCCCCTCCTCCTCTCCCCTCCTCCTCATTCCACACATCAATCCTCTCCCCCTGAGAGCCCCTTCCCCCCATTTGGTCTTCTCCCCTCCTCACCTCCCTCCCCTCCTCCTCGCCCTTGGGGGAGGTGGGCCAGCATCGCACCAGGTAGTGGGTGGCCTCAGCCGAGGGTTGCCAGGTGAGGTGGAGGGTTCTGGGGGTCACTGTGGCCAGGGTTAGTGCCTGAGGCGGGGGCAGAGGTGCTGTGTGGGGGGCAAGGGCAACCTTAGGAATGAAGCCCAGCAGAAATCATACCCTGGGTGCCCATTCCAAGCTCTGAGCCATCCTACCCCCATCTACCTGTGGTGACCAGGCCCCGCAGTCCCTCTCCCACCCCAGCCTCGTAAACAGGGAAAACGGAGACCAGGTACTCCGTGCTGGAGGTCAGATTGTGGAGCTCTGCAGACGAGGCGGGCCCCTCTACCACCACCTGGAACAGAGGAGGGAGGACAGAGCCAGGGTATAGGGCAGGGACTCCATCACCAAGGGTGTGGCCTGGGGACTGCGAAGCCATGTGGGGTGGAGAGGCCAGGCCATGCTCACCTCACTGGGGGCACCACCTCGGGACGCCTGCCACACAATCAGATACTTGAGGGGTGGCTGGTGGGCGGGGGTCCAGGAAAGGTGGATGCTGGTGGCTGTCACCTGCCCCAGGACCAGGCTTGTGGGGGCAGGGAGGGTGGCCAGGGCTGGAGCTGCCACTGCCGGGGTGTCTGGGAGTGGGAAGAGCAGGTGGTCAGCGGCCCCAGAGGACTGCTGACGTGAGCATCTCCACTGGCTCCCCCCTGATGGCCAGTCATGGGCCACTCCGTGGACAGGTAAGGGTTGCTGCAGACTCCTCAGAACCTTGAGAAACAGCATTGTCTGCCACATGGGAGCCACGGCACCTCCCCAACCTCCACCCAAAGCAGCCAGGCCAGCCTGTGGCGTTGTATTCTGCATGGACCATCCGCCCCTCACCTGGAGCCCGCGGTGGACTCCTGCCTTGGAGTCTCTGGCAGAGAAGGCGGCTGACCAAGCCAGCCAGCGTACCCAGCTGGGGGAAGTCCTGCACATTGTGGACAGTGATATCCCTTGGCGGAGATGCCAGGAGCCTCAGCTCAGTTTCATCCGCATTCTTCACACCTGCTCGTGGAGAAAGGAGGGAGATGAAACGAGTTCCACCTGCCCTGCTCCATCCCACTCACAGGACCACCGCAGGAGGGAAGGGGCAGTCCGAGACCCCACAGGGACCCCAGTGAGAAGTGGCAGCTGGGCCATCCTGTGATGGCGTGAGGGTCTCTGAGGAGGCTGGATGGGGGGAAGATCCGTGAGCTCTACCTGCGAGGTCAGCAGCTGTGGCCATGTGGAGTGGTTCAGGCAGCAGGCACCCGCTGACCCACCCACACACCTTGTGCCTGGCTGGGCCCTCCTGAGGGACTAGGGGCATCAGGAGTGTCTCTGTTCCCAGAACCCCTCCCTCAAAATCTGCACTTTCTTTCCACAGGGCAGACTTGGTAATTAGCCAAGAAATCCCAGTCCTGGAGGGCGTGAGGATGCTCCTGCCAGGCAGCAGGTGGGAGTTGCCAGGTGCAGGGACGCTGGAAGGACCAGCTCCAGGTCTGCAGGGTGAATTCACACACTTGGAGGGGGTGGCACTGCCAGGACAGAGGGCGTGGTGGGGGGTTCTACAGACAGCACCAAAAACCAGAGACATGAGACACGGCAAGGAGCCGCCACACCGGCCCGCCCACCTGCACTTCTGCGGCCTCTGGTGCATGCAGGGTCCAGGATCTTGTTTGACCCTGCAGGGGAGGGAGTTGGCCTCCCACGCCCTGGACACGGAAGCCACACTAGAGGCCAAGGGCCACTGTGTCCCCCAGTTGCAAGGGTGAGGCCAGGTGACAGCTCCCACCAGCGGCAGAGTTCATCCGTGTGAGAACTCCCAGTCAGAACGAGGCGAGGCGCTCACCCACAGCAAAGACATCCACACCCAGGTCCTGGAGCACCCGGGCCGCGGGGTGCACGTCGTCCTGGGACTTCCCGTCTGTTACCAGAACCACCAGCTTAGCTGCCTCCCGACGCAGGCCTGCTGAGGGCTGCAGGTTCCGTCCAAGCACATGGGCCAGGGCCAGGCCTTAGGGATAGCGAGGACAGAGTGACAGGTGGACGCCACGTCCCTCTTCTAGCCTCTCAGTCCACCGTGCCAGTCCTGCCCTTGCAGGTTGGGGACACCAGAGAACAGGGCCCCTCCTCCCCTTCCCTCGCTAGGCTCCAGGTGGCTGCCCCGGGACAGCAAACCCCACGGAAGGGGCAGGAGGGCCAGGCTCCACCTGCAAGCTGAGCTCCCAGTTGGGAGGGCGTGGACCCAGCAGGAGGAACCCCTCACTTTCAGGCCCACAGAGCCGACGTTTTGCCAAAGATAAACAAGGGGGCAATGCTGCCTTTTACAAAGGTGGGGATTGGGCTCAGTGTCCACACCACCCGGAGTTCCATTTGCACACAAGATCTCAGGGGCCCTCCTGAGATCTTGCACACAAGATCTCAGGAGGCAGCAAGTGGAGTTGGGGCGGGGACTTGCGGCAGCGGAGCG